GGGGGGGGGGGGGGCACCTAAGGGCCACGCAGTGATGTTTGAAATGGACCGCATCAAAAGGCAGTGCACGAAAAGAAGAAAAACTAGCATTAAAACTGGACCATATCCCACTCGGTATGGGTCGCTTTTGCTCTGGCCGGTCCGGTATCGGGTGCCAGTAGCCCGGTGGCCTTGCCGGAGCGGGGGAGCGGGTGGGGCCGCACGGTATATACCGCTCTCTTACTGTGCTCGAAAACGTCGTCGTCGGGGGAACCAGAGCCGCGCTAGCGCGCAGGGGCGCAGGAGGAGGCCGGACCTGGCGTCGGGACAACGGAAGTGGATTACAGCGGATTACGTGCGATCGGAATACTAGAGAGGGGCGCGGCCGGCGTGTGGCGTACGCCGCCCACTGTGGCCGGCGGGCGCCAGCGCCTGTCGCCGCGCGGTCTGGACCCTGCGATATGGGCTACTAGGACAACGTGTCGGTGTGGATGAGAGGTCAATGAGAGCTCCGCAAGGTGTCAATGACCATAGTCTCACCTTGCGGGTCCTGTGCCGCCGGCCGCTGGAGGACCAGACCTTGGCCCTCGTCGCAGGCTAACGCGCGCCTGCGATCGAGGAGTGAGTCCCAGGTAGGGCTGTGCGATATCACTATATTTTGATATCGATACGATGTCGTCTGATATCGGACGATATCGACTTCTCAATACGATATCGATATCGAAATATCTAGGTTGCTCGATAGTGAGATATATCGCTCTATATATCGACCATTTTCCAACATATCGTTTCTCGATATGGTTCGATATTGCGATATAACTCGATGTGTTATCGAGATTCGATTCGACGCATCGAGTCGATATCGACGTACGTGGTCGATATCGTATCGCGAAATCAAAATCTGGATATCGCACAGCCCCAGTCCCAGGGTGCCCGGAGCGGCGGGGTGCGGCAGCGTGCGGGCCATACGGGCTCTCCCAGCCGTTATGGCGTTTCCTGGTGTGTAACTCGGCGTCACAAACACCTAATTACCGTGGAAAGGCGCTCCGTGTGTTTGGGATCGGCTGGTGAGCGAAGCCTCCGCACCGCCGCCGGCAGGCCAGGCCGCCGTTAAACCACCGTCGTGCGCGTTCGTTCGTTACCGGCCGCGCATGCGCCACCATGTCCCACACTATAAAATACAAAACCGCTTCGCCGATGGTTATATATTTTTTTAGAGTCGCCTGACTCGCCGACGTCAAATAGATGTCTGAATTAGGAGCGTACGCGCCTGCTTTCGCGATGATGCCTATTGCCTGTAGCAAATGGAAGACTGCGCTGCTGCTGCTCGCCCCTCCGAGAGGCATTGCTGCAACGTCCATCTTTTACCCCCTCCGCCTGCGGATCGAAAGAGTTATCGACTGGACTGATCAAACGCCCCACTTATTTTTTCTTCCTTTTAATATACCGCGTAAACTTTGCAAGCAAGCAAGCAAGCTGCAGACCGACTTACGCTTTCAAGTCGAGTTTCTTTCAAAAATAAAATAAAATAAATTTATATATTTGCAGAAGAGCAGTTTCTTCCCCCCATGAGCCGCCGCCAGTCGGAGTCGCGCGCAAGCAAGCCCCAAGCGGAGCGTGAAAGTGTCCTTGAACCTGTCTGTCTGCCGCACCTCTCCCCTCCCCGCCACCGCCGCTCCCCGCCTTGTGATGTCACTGAGTGCATCGCTCGCGCCATCCGGCGGGGAGGGAAGCGAGGGGAAAGAGGGGAGGGCAATGATGCACACCGCTGCACTGCCATTCAAGGTTATGCGTATAGCTCTCTCGCTCTCTCTCTGTCGGTGTTTTCCTTTTCTTTCTTTTCCTAACGCGCCACGTCACTTTCCTTTTCGACGCGCCCGCTCATCTCGTCGCTGTATAGGTGGTGTCGTTTGTGAAGCAAGTCACTCCGAGTACAAGGAAGGGGAAGGTGAAAGAAGGGGGGGGGTATAGAAGGAGGAGATGGAGTGAGTGGATCAATCCGGAATCAAAATAAAGAAAGGCCTCCCGGTCATTGCCGCCGTCCAACAGCGTCACGCGCGCGCGCGCGTGTGTGTTTTACACGGCGACGACTGTCCGTGGCCCCGATCCGTCGTGGACAAACACAGTGCAAGCATGTTGTCGCTATGCCGTCGCCATCCCCCCATAACCTCCCTCCACCCTCTCATGTCGTCGTCTCGTGTTTCCAGAGGTGAGAAACGCCATGGACTTCCGCCGTTGAGGTTACCTCGCCCATGGCGGACTCCGTAGTACTATACGTACTCCCGTGGCACTGCGCCGCCGCCCACCACCGCGCCCCGCCCGCGGTGCCCCGCCGACACCGACGAGGGCCGATGTTTACGCCGCCTCGGTTCAAAGAGCAATTGGCCACTTTGTATGAACTTGTGCCGGCGGGGAGGTCCCTCCCGCAGTGCGTCTTGCCCGCGCCACCTCTCCCCACCACCACCACCACCACCACCGTGATGATATCGTTTTGCAACTTCGATTTTGTCGTGTCGACATCTTTTATTTCGATATCCTTATTTCAACAACATCCCGTTATTGATTTTCTCAAGCCTTCGATCTTATCTTCTCACCTCCACGTGCCGCACCGCCCGGCCGTCGGGAAGTTGTCGCAAACTCAGATCGAATATGAGTAGTGATTGTGCTCATGTCAGTTGAGCTCGTCGTGTCACCGCCCGCCCGCACATTCTCTCCCTCTCGCCCTCTCTCAGACACAGACACAAACACCCGCACGCACACACACACACGCACGGACGGGACTGCGCCCCGGTTACATACATGCTCAGTAGGACACACTCGCGAACACCACCGTCCCCCTGGTAAGTACGTATAGTATAACGTGACCTGCTCCTTGCGCCCGCCGCATGCGCGCGACTTGGATGCTGCCCCCGCCCCCGCACCGTCCTGCTCGGTTCACTATATCACTTTCATGCGGATGCAGGGTGTGCCGAGCCCGAGTCGAGCCCGAGCCGAGCCGAGGCGCGGGAAAGAGAACCGAAGCGAATCAACGTGACCGCCGGCCGGCAACTCCGCTGCTGCTGCTGCTGCCAGCCCGACGAGAGGGAATCTGACCGCTCTGCCTCTTTACTTTTATTCTCTGGGTGCGCTTTTTATTATTTTTTACAATGTAATTGGAGGGACCGCGTTACGTCAGGACGACGACGGCCTTGCGCGCGTTTTAAGCGGAAGGTAGCGGCCGCTGGGGGGAAAGGAGCTTCCAGCGTGGGGCACACTACACGCACACACACACACGCAGTGTTGTATTGGAGTCTACCGAGCATAACGGCTGCCCAGCCCAGCGGGCCCACTGGGGTTGTTTCATCGACCACACTAAAGCGCCGACCGTCGCCATCGCAGCCCCGAGGCCGCGATTTTCGAACCTCTGCAACACCATGGACGTTATCGAACCGACGGTGTCTTCCTCAAACTTAACCCAGCCGGCCGCCCACGTCCACTACCCCAATTTCACGTCCTCCGCTCTCTCCTCTGGGCGTGCCGTTGTCGTTCGGGGATTGCATTCAAATCCGAAACATCGACGCTCCTATCGAGCACGAGTGCTACGCATATTTGGAATTTAAAGGAAGAAGTTAGGTAACGGCGAGAACGGGCGGGAAGGACTTCGACAGCACAAATGCGTCCCCCGCTTTGGGAACATCGCCCCCGAAAAAAAAGAGGGCGTTCCTTGTCCTTCTTTCCTTCCGTCACAAAGATTCTGTTCAGGACTTGTGCAGTCCCGTTCCGTTGTAACCGCTGCGGCGGTGGCCCGTCGCTCCCGGTCGAACTATTGCGCAACTAAATGCGGGTCTCAGGCCGGCGAGCATCCCATCCCCATTACACTAAACCATCGCCACTGTCCTGGGCAGGCCTGGCCGGCGCTGTCGTCGTCCAGCCCGGGGCAGAACGGCGCGCGGCGCGACGCGAAGCGATCCGACGGCGGATGCGACTTTCTCGCGGTGGGCGGGTGCAAAGCGAGGCCGCGGGGCGAGAGCAGGAGGATCAGAAAGAGATGCAGAAGAAGCAGGAAGAGGAGCAGGAGGATGATCAAAAGTAGAAGGATGAGCAGGGGGATGAACAGGAGGAGGATCAAGAGCAGGGGGTTCAAGAGGAGGAGGAGTAAGCTGATGAGCAGGCAGAGGATCAGGAGGAGAAGGTGGCGGAGCAGGAGGAGGAACAGGAGGAGGAGCAGGTGGAGAAGAAGGAAGAGGAGCAGGAGTAACAGGAGGCGGAACAGGAGGCCGGTCAGGAGAAGCAGGATCAGGAGGAGGATCAAGAGCAGGAGGGGGATCAAGAACAGGGGGAGGATCAAGAACAGGAGGAGGATGAAGAGCAGAAGTCGGAGCATGGGGAGGAGGTGGAGCAGGAGAAGGAGGAGGATCAAGAGCAGGGGGTTCAAGAGGAGGAGGAGTAAGCTGATGAGCAGGCAGAGGATCAGGAGGAGAAGGTGGCGGAGCAGGAGGAGGAACAGGAGGAGGAGCAGGTGGAGAAGAAGGAAGAGGAGCAGGAGTAACAGGAGGCGGAACAGGAGGCCGGTCAGGAGGATCAAGAGCAGGAGGGGGATCAAGAGCAGGAGGGGGATCAAGAGCAGAATGAGGATCCGGAGCAGGATCAAGAGCAGGATGAGGAGCCGGAGCAGGATCAAGAGGTGGAGGAAAGCGCAGCAGGATGAAGCTCCATCACATGCGATGCGGCGCGCCGGCGCAGCCTCCTTCATCACAGTTTATCTCACCCTATTTACCATCGCGCCGCTTCCTCGGGCGCCGCATGCGTATGGGACCGGGGGAGGAGCTCCCACGGCGGCGCCCGGCCCATCGACACGTTGGCGGGGCGTGGCGGCAGGACGGCTGGGAACTTGCACCCCGCAGACCCGTTCACAGCGCTGCAGCTGTTACGGGTCACAATTCGTCCCCGGCTCCCGATTCCCTGCGGAATCGCGCGAGTGAGAGAAGACGCAGAAGAAGGGGTGTAAGAGGCAACGTGACTAGGTCTTTTTCTTTTCACTTTTACCATATGTTTCAGTGTCTCTCAAAAACAGCTCCGGTGTTCAAGACCACCACCACCGGGGGGTGTTGTCCTCCCACGCACTCGAATCCTTGGGCGTCCGGCAGTGCGGTGCCCTGCAGCTGGGCACGCCCGCCCGCCCCGCCCAGCCCGCCTCCCTCCAGGACCCCGTCCAGCGCGCCCCGCCGCCCCCACCATCCTCCCCGCGGCCGCGGCGCCGGTCCGAGGTATAAAAGCGTCGGGGGGCCCCGGCACTCGGTCAGAAGTGCTGTACGTTGCGGTAGAGGTGTGCGTGTGTGAGTGAGTGTGTGCGTGTGCGTGATCTGTTAAACTCGGCCGAGATGTTGCTCAAGGTGAGTAAAGGTGCCTGGTGTTCTCCGTGATTGTGTGTGTCGTGCTCCCCTGAGCTGTCGTGAGATCTCGCGACTGTGCTGCCCAACCGATCATCACCAAACCGTGGATATCGCTGAATAGCAGTGTGAGCAGCAGCAAGCAAATGAGGGCGCAGCGCGGCATTTGGCCGCGAATATAGTACTGAAAACCCAAGAATGGGAATGTCGCACACTTCTTGGAGCGTGAATTGCAATTCGCCCACTTGCACAAGTAAAGGTATAAATTCTCGCACACTTGCAAGTATTATTAACGGAAATGCACATGTCTACAAGAAAGTGTGTGTCATTCCTCTTGGCTTTCCTGAGCAGGGACGCCATACACCGCAATGCGTCTACGACTTGCATCGCACCCTCGGCGACACACCGGAGGGCCTTCACGTTATCGCCCGGGGGGGGGGGGGGGTCAGAAGCACAAGTTGCTCGATCCTCGTCGTCGGCAGGGTACTTGTGCCCGAGAAGGATGTCAAGGGGATGTCGTAAAGAGACCGCGCGGGGTGGTGTGGTGGTGGGGGGATCACCCGGAGAGAACAGAGGGATGTAATGGGGATGCGCGCGTCTTATGAAACGCCGGCCAGCCTCTCTCGGCGCGGTCCAGCGAGGGCTCACCATCGTGCCCCTCGCCGGCGCGGCCAGCGTGATGCGATACGCGTGACGTAACGACAGGGACGGCCGCGTCGCTTCGTGTAAACGCCCCTACCCTCCTCGCCTCCCCGGCCCGCCGCCGCCGCGGGCTTACGGGCGGCAGCGTCCAACGGGATGAGAGGAGGCCTGCGCGCGGCTAGTTACGGTGCCGGCGGCGGCGGCGGGGTGCTTTGAGCAAGGAAGTCGCGTAAAGCAATCAGAAAATCGACAACACGGTCCGCGTGTGCGATTCGGTGCGGAGAAAGAGAGTGTGCGTGCGTACGTGCGTGTTGACCATAGGGCGGACCAGGGTTGACGTTTGCGGAAGTTGGCAACGATGCACGATTCGATGGGCACTTCCAGGGTCCATGCTCTACTCCCAGAAAAGAGTATGGTCGTGAACTCAGTTTTCCAAAGCAATCGAACACGTCATGATTTAGGACCCACGCGGTACTCCCGAGGCAAGACCCACTCGAGGCCCACCCGAGGCCCGCCACCCGTGGGAGTCGTCGCGATGGTCCCGATCCGATCGAATGGGGGCGCGGGGCGCGGGGCCGGGCCGTCGGGCCGATGATCCGATGGCCCACGCATCACATACGGGGCCGGCGGGGCCCCCTGCTCTCCGTTCGCTATTGTCACTACTCTGGGTACCCCCCCCCCCTCTCTCCCTCTCTCCTCTCTCGGTGCATCTCCGTGCCGCATTCTTCTTACCTAACAGCGCCACACAACCGAGCGCTTGGAGGAGAGGAGATTCCCTCCCGTCCGCCCCTCTCGCGAAATGATCACTGATCGGCGATACTCCACTCTCCATCGCCCCTCTCCCCCTCCCCCTTCTCTCTCTCTCTCTCTCTCTC